TGTCAGGCAGGTGACGAAAAATGTCACCTGCCTGACATGAAAAATTACCTGCCTGAAACAAAAATTTTCAAAATTTGATAAAATATAAGAAAAATGTGTACTGTATTTGTGCTACAAAAATATTAACATGGTTATACAGAGGTACATAATATATGACATCTGATTTAGCAGATGCAAATATTGTAGACTGAGTCACTAACAGTCAGTCAATTGTATTGTCAAAAAACATCTTCTAAAATCTTTTTTTAGACCTTTCTAGTGTTTCCCATAGAGCAGAGGTTCTCAAACCTTTTGGATCTGGGGACCCCTTACAAAGGTGAAAAAATTTCCAGGGACCCCCTCATAAAGCCCATGCTGTTTTTTTAATCATTTTAACCCCTAAATGCCATAAGAATATTATGTCATTTGGTTTAGTATGTTTATTTTACTAGTGCACTGTTCCCCATATGCATTTTTTAAAAATAAAAAACAAATGAACAATTTATTGCAATCATTTGAGGACCCCCAAGTTTTGGCTTGCAGACCCCCGGGGGGTCCCGGGACCCCAGTTTGAGAACCTCTGCCCTAGAGTACTGGCCTTGGGAGGGCTGCTTATAAAAACAGAGTGATCAACAGCAGCAGCTTTGTTTTAAATACAACTTACAGAACATGAAAAAGTCTGCAATTTGCATTAATTRAATCTTATACAGTGAATCTCATATCTAAAGATACATTTAAGATATCTTGAATTGGAGTCTCCTTTCAACWTAATGATAAATCTGACGTTATTTATACTAGTCAGAATATAATTAGAGATATCTTAAACAGGTATTTTGAATTGTCAAAATATATTAAGAGATGTCTGTTTGTTTGTTTCTTTCATTTATCAAAACAAAATAATCTATGTACACCCCTAAAAAAGGTAAATCCTACCCTGAATTAAAAGGGTGCAGAGTGAAGAAAAAACTTATCATATTTGCCCCTTATTTTCAAAAATCAACTTCAACAAACAAACAAGCTCAAGCTGGAAAGTTCTCCAAGTTTAAAAAATAAGTAAATAAAACAAAATGATAAAAGAAAACATTTATTATTTTATCTTAAATAACTAATATGTCTAATCTAGTCATAAAACAATTTCAGATGACTGGAATGTAAGCGTGGAGAAGCCAAATAAATGCAATATTGGCCTGCCATACAATGAGCCTGTTGAACTGACCCACTGCTGCTCTGTGCTCAGAGCACAAGCTGACATTAGCAAGATGGATTTATGACTGATTGAATGGCCCCATCTTTTTACCATCTCTATGGGTAACAATAGATTAAAAAAAAAGTTTTTTCTCCGACAATTTGGGTGTGAAAAAACTACGGTTGTTAAAGCTTCGCTCTGCTTGATGTGCAGTGGGAGGAAGGAAATAATCCAGCGACAACTTTTCTACAGGGGAGGGGGAAATTTTGAGAATTTGTTCTTTCTATGTGTTTTAAAACACTAGAATTCTTCATTTATTTTCAGAACATTTTGAATAAATGGCCGTTTAAAAAAATTAAAAGAAATTGTTCACCTGCCCGGTAATATGAGTTTTACCTGCCCGGGGCAGTTGGGCAAAAGAATTTCTCAAACCCTGGTTATAGTGTAAGATGTCGTTGCAATGTTAGAAGAAAAGTGAGTCTCCTTACCTCGTAGTATGAGTCTGGGGGTTCTGTGATCTCACTGCTTGCCCCTTCCAGATCATTAGGTATCCAGGGTAAAAGTATGCAGTGCCTCAGCAGCACGTTGCTTTCTCCATATGCATAATCACGGGTTACTTCATCTGTGGAAGTGTTAAATACAGCGGGTAAAATAAGTATTGAACACGTCAACATTTTTCTCAGTAAATATATTACTAGAGGTGCTAATGACATGAAATTTTCACCAGATGTCGGTAACAACCCAATTGATTCATAAAGATTTCATTTCAGAAGTCATTTTGCAGGTATACGGACATATAGAGCAATCTCGTGGATTTTTTCAAGTCTTACGGAT